TTCATCTTCTTATTTTAGATCTTGTATTTCCGCATCATAAAGTTAACATGGTATCAGAGTAACGATCCTAATCGTTTGCACCAAAGTTGCCTTTTTTTTTTCCCCCTTCCCTTTCCTTTATTGATTTGTAAAGAGCAGCGAAAGAAATGACCAGTAAAATCTGATCTGTTTCTAGTTCAGATTTCTCTTTGTTTTCCGTTTTCGATCAACCACGCGCTTCCAAGTGACATCACGCGCCGACACTCCTGCGAAGTAGATCTGACTCGCGCATCACTGCCTATGCATCTGACTCAAGAATCACGCGCCACACTCTTCTGTGAGTAGATCTCACTTGCGCTACACGCACCCACGTGCTCCTCCTTCACCGACAGTAGTTAACTATCTAAAGTGGTGACCGACTCACCATTGTTTCAGTTCCTAGTCAAAGAGAGGTTGTTTGTGTTGATTACCGGCTTTGTTCCGAATCTTTTTCATTTCTCGGATGGATTACCCCGATGTGTCCAAGTGTTGCTCTGGCCTATTTCTCGGCTTTGTTCCTATAGCGATCCGAATTTTCACAAACCCAGATATGTCAATGTGACCCGAAAGTTGTGATACCCCTCGGATCCAAGACATGGGTTGATCAGGCCCAGGCCCAAACCCGAGGGAATATCAAACAATTAATATTTTAAAACGAACACAGATGACAAAATGAATTTAATAAAAAAAAGTTTAAAAACTGAGAAGAATACTAAAACATAATCCTTGAAATTAAATACTTAAAATCCCAAATAATAAGGTTATAATAAGGGTAAATTACACTTAGACCCCCTGTGGTTAGGTCATATTACACCTATATTAATATTTTGGTTTTAGATTTCACTTATATTTGAATTAGTAGGTTAACATTTCACTTACACCCCAAAAATTAATTTTTGATGAAATTAGAATACTTTGAGGTGTTAAATGACTATATTACTCTTTGACCTCACATTGACTTTTTTTTGTGACCAAACTACCCATCACAATCACCACCGCCCCGCTGCTGTCATGAACCTTACTCTCTCTCTCTACCTCTCTGCCATTGTTGAATTTTTCCCAAACAAGAAAAGGGTCTTAGAGAGAGAGGGGCAATTGAAGAGAATGGCGGCAAAGATCATTGGTGTCTAAAATTGCCAAATTTGTCTTATTTTTCTCTATCCTCAATCCTTCTCTTCCTTCTTCGATTTAGGTTTTTTTTTTTTTTTTTTTTTTTTTTTTTTCCACCACCACAACACTGTTTTGTCCACCAAATCACACACACATATGTGTGTATATATATATATATATATATATATATATATCACCACCATCAATCACCCCCACCATAGACCGCCGCCGCCGGCCCACCACATCACAGCTTCACCACCCACAGCCACATCCATCATCACCCCCCACAACCACCACCAAATCAAGTGAACTGGGTTTTGCTACTTGGAGCTTGCCATAATTGAGTTTGGTTTTGCCAACACTAGGAGCTCGCCGGAACTGGGTCAGTTCAGTTCTGTCGTTCGTCGCCGGACATGAACTGGGTTTCGCTACAAGGGCTGGGTCCGGCCCTCCTGTAGGAGCACGAGACGCGGATTTTCGCCGCCGATTTCGACGCCGTCGAGGCTGTAAGCCTGTAATCCGACGTCTTATCGCCGAGATATATTGATAGCGACACTGTAGAGGTTGTAATCCGACACTCACCGCTGACATCAACTTGCTCTTCAGCGTCATCTTCCGCAATCGACTTCGCCTTCGATTAGAAAATGGTTAAGAGAATTAAATTGGGAATTTAAATGCTGACAGATTATGACCTTTTTCTAACACTTTGTTTGATATGGGAAAATGATGGCATCATAATATGGGTTTTGTGCTTTTAACTGGGTTTGTAGTTGTGAATATGGAAATTGGCTAAATAATTGTTTATTAGGTTGATTTTCTTATTTACTGAATGATAAGATTTAGTAGTGATTTCTTATTCAATTCCAGGGGCGAGGGGGGATGGAAATCTAAAAACATTTTTGCCATGGACGTCCATTTCGGCAGTGGTTTGGGGTATGCAGTGGTGGATATAGGTCGGTATGCAGTGGTGGATGTGGTCGGGAGCCAGAGATGGTGGCGGTGGTATGAGGTAGGGATAGGGGGTCTTTTGTCATTTAAGATTACATAAATTTTGTATTAAAAAATTGAGGGTAAAAGGGTCAATTCGCATGATTGGGGTGTAAATGAAAATTAAAACCAAAATCTTCATCTAGCTAAAATATGACCTAACCTCAGGGGGTGTCTGTGTAATTTACCCTTATAATAATCCAACTCAAAAATCTCCATGGGTACAACTCGGGAATCCATCCAGTGGACCCTTAATAAGAAAACCAAATTGAAATAAAACTAGAAGAAATCCATAATTAAACCATGGAGAGAGATCCTACGTCGTCGGAAGAATGAGTGACCGTCTTTGCTCAGCACGAACAAGCTCAAGCTTGGAATTGATGTACACCTGAAAAATAGGAGTGGGTCAGACCCACGAACAAGTTCTAACCTACTGCAATTCAAGCAGAAACTCGATATGCATATACATCCTAAACAATTCAACAATAGCTAATAGTTCGTACGTAAGTATATCCATACTACAGGACGCTCAGTGGACTATGGAGAGGGTCTCAACCTGAATAAAAGGCAACATCCGAAAACGCACCCATAGGTGGGCATGAGTACCTAGACCTAATAGGATACATCTCAACCTCTCATATTCAGCTACGCATCCTACTGCATATATGCTCTATAACCGACGACTCTGAGACTCAAGCTCATATCGTGGTACCATAAAAAATATATTTTAAATCTTATCATATCCATCCATAAGAAATCCAGTTAGTCATTCAACTTGTGCAGCTTTTTTGACTTAACATAGATAACAAGCAATCCGGTTAGTCATTCAGCTTGTTCAGCTTCTTTGACTTAAGTATTAGTAGGATTTATTTTAAAATCCATTCCTTTATTCCATGTAGATAGGATTTAGTATTTTGAAACTAATCCAAACCTAGGCATGCCACCATCCCATACCGGTGCATGTAATCCAACATCCAGCAGTTAACAATACAATTGTATAAGTAAATACCAACTATTCCATACCATGCAGCAGTTGGTAACACTAATAATGAAAGTAATTACCAACTAGTCCATAAGACATATAACCAGAATCCATTACAGGTATAAGAAGAGTTATGTATATGACATGCTTATTCTGTACTACCGACACATGCTTCTCCAATAAGTTTACAATACAGAGAGTAAATATTATTTATCCTGTGATCCCCTATGAGCATAATAACAACAATATCAAAATTAACATGCTCATTCAAAACCATTCCACGATATCCAGAATGTTAACAAGATACAGTACTGTAAAATTTGCAACTAAGGTCCCATTAAGCATAATAGAGAGTTATCACACTTGACATGCTTATGTTTTTTTTTTATATAATACTATGACATGATTTAAACCACAAATTCCCTAAGTCACTTGCTAAATTAAACACGAGCAACTTGAATCATTCACATCAAAACCAATAAACCAATTTTCTTAAGAGTCTCATACTGTGTTCTATATTTGCTTCCTATGGTATATTCTGTACCACCATTCCTTCTGAGGCTTTAGTATGAGTTTGGACATTACTAAACAACCCCAGAACAAACCCTAAATCAATCTGGAATGTTAAAACCCCAACCACAGTAGCCCAGAACTAGCAGAAAACAACCAAAACTGAAGAGCCTTGAAGGGAGACGTCTCCAACCAAGTTAGAGCCACCTCCAAACAAGATAAAGCTGGCTCTAACTCACTTGGAGCCGCCTCCAACATACTTAGAACCGGCTCCATGATCCCATGGAGCCCCTTCTTTCACAAAGAGAGCCTGCTCTCTTCAACTCTGCCTCTTTTCTTCACCTGCTTTGTCTCCGGTGAATCCCATTGATCCGTCCCTCTCTGTTACAGTTCCTAATGGTTTTAATTATATTCAGACCTAACCAGAGAAGATCCATCTAACTCCTTCATGCATTGATTAATCACGATTTAAAATAAGCATATACACAGTCAATCACCAAACTAGCAACCTAAGATGGTTTCAACACATACTGCTTTAAACAAGTTTTGACCATGCATAACAATTTAATTCTTATGTTTAATAGTTCTTGGAACTGCTTAAGGATGTAAAGAACACGAGATAAAGGGAAAGAGTGAAGTTAGAACTTGTCTTACACTGACGTCGTTCTAAATTCTCCGATGAACTGTGTGTTTGCTCCTCTGGTTTCTCTCTGCCTTCACAACCGTAAACAGGGTTCTAAAACCCTAGACAGAGACCTTAAATGTATATTTATAGGCCAAACTACTCCTAGGCTCAATTAAACCCTAATCTAACTTACTCGGCCCATAGAACAACCTAGGTTTTAATCCTCATCGGCTACTTATGTAAATTGCAACCCTAATGTAACTATATGCGTGCAACCATAAAACAGTCACGTTGAGAAATAATTAAATAATTAACTAATGTGTTAGCACCGGGCATAGATCGTTTCATTCCCATCTCCTCCGGCCACTAAAGCTTTAAACCACGATCTCTCTTATCCACCCAATTAAATCAATCCAATTAAAATAAGTAAATAACTAACTACAATTAAATCAATTAAATTAACATATATGCACTTCAACAATTAAAAATGCAATTTAAACAATAAAGTAAATACTAGGACTATACTTTTGAAATTAGGGGTATTACAAAAGTTGACCCGATAACGGATCTAGAATGTAGAAGCGGAAACAAAAACAAAGTCTATGGGAATGATCAGTATCCCTAAGACGCCATGGTGACTTTCCATGAAGTTACAGAAACAAGAGAAAACAATTGCGGAAGCGAAAAGGTGAAAATAGACCAAGTATATCCCCAAGTGCAAAATGGTCATTTCATATGCAACGAAGTCTCAAGAGATGTACGTCATCTCTAAGACGCAAACATGGCTTCCCATGAAGCCATAGAACCTAAAAGAAAACAAAAATGCGAAAGCGACGTTTTAAAAACAGACAAGTTTAGCCCTAGAGGCAAAATGGTAATTTCTAAAAGTTATGGGTGCTACCGAGCACACCATTGGATAGACGACGAAAAATTAACGAAGTTCAAAAAAAAAAAATTCACCCAATTAGGAGTCCGAACGAAGAAGTTATGATAAAAAAAAAGGGGTCAAAAGGAGCAACACAAGGCCATCTAATCGATTAGATGCCAAAACAGTAAGTTGGAAAATTTGAAGAAGACCATCTAATCCATCTAATCGATTAGATGCCAAAACAGTAAGTTGGAAAATCTGTGGAAGACCATCTAATCAATTAGATGGGGTTGACTGCCAGAAAATGTTGAAGAAAAACGCTGTTTTGAGGGATAAGATGGACTTTTTAGGAAAAACATGAAAAAGAAACCCCCCTTAAAATAATTTTTCCAAGCTGACCATATCTGAGTTTGTGAAAATTCAGAACGTCACAATTCTAACCCATTACCTGGCGTTGTTTCGGCCTTTCGGCTGTTTTTCACTCCACCACCGTTTTCAACTATTTCCCAGCGTTGTTCCGACGTGTACTATTTCCCTGCATTGTTCTAGACTTTTGGATGCTTTTCACACCACCATCGTTTTCAAGATTTCATCTCTAAACTTAAGTTGGCTTCGAAAAACCCATCTTGAATTTGCGGGAGAATATTGAAATATATATTATTGATAAGCGCACAAAACTTGTTATTTTGTACTTAATAATAAATGATTAACTAATATTTTTTATTAAATAAATGTTCTTATCCATGTTTTCCATGTTTTATATGGGCTGATTTCAGAATAAGAAGAAAAGAGACAAAAATAGCAGAAATGTGAGATTACACGATCAGTCAAATTCAAAGTTGACTTTCCATCAAATCAGTAAAGATCAGGCTAAATTGGAAAGCACATCAAGTCAAAGATATCAAGCCAAATTGGAAAGCATATAATTCCAAATTGGAAAATAGCAAGATTTTATTTTATTTTATTATATTTTTACTTCTGTAATTAGAATTTTTCCCTCCCAGTCGTTCCATTCTAAACTCTATAAATAGGAACATATGGAGAGGAGGTACAATGTACACTGTTAATGAAAGAAAATAATAAAAGTTAGAGAATTTTTGTCTTCAATTTCTTTCTTATAATTTTTGTTATGTAAAACATTTTTATTTTTATATTTTGTTTTATTTTTATTAGTATGCTAGCTTAAATACCTCATCTCGAGGAAATGATGAAGTCACCATGGTTAACATGTAATTGAATTTCTTCATGTCTTGTTTTAATTTTCCTCTTTAGAACATGTTTTTTATTCTTCTATACTGTGTTATTGGATTGAAAAATAAATTAGAAGGAGGATTCTTTGTGTTTGCCAATTAATGGTAATTCAAAGAATGCATACCTCTATTTACTAAAGATTTACCAAATTAAATAAAAAATTGTTCTCTCTTATTTAAGCAAGTGTTGTTTAATTTTTTATTTTCCTTCATCTTTCCAAGTTCTAATTGGATTGATGAAGTGAAATGCTTATAAAAGAAAAATTGACAAAAATAAAATAAATTTGTTTATATGGATCTGTGGTGGTGGATTCTTATCCCTCAAGACTTTTTCCATTATTTGAAAAGAAAATTATTATGTAGTCTTTTTATTTTTTTATTTTATTTTAGTTCATTATTAAAAATTCATCAAATTGTTTTAAAAGTGTTCTTCCTTAAATTTTGGTTTTGATTATGAATTCTAATCTTAAATGTGTGTTCGACCTTGCTTATCACTATATAATTTTTAATTTAGTCTTTGCAAGTTTTTGTTTTTTTTGCACGAAGTGTAAAAAAACAGCGATAGAATTCATAAATCTATATTTGTCAATTATATATATGCATAATATATTATACATATATATTATATTCGTTTTCCTTTCTTTCCTCCTTGATTTACTCCTTTTGTTTCCCTCTTTTCTTTTATATATATATATATATATATATATATATATATATATATATATATATATATATTTGGTTTCCTTTCTTTCCTCCTTAATTCACTTCTTGATTTATTCATTTTGTTTCCCTCCTTCCCTCCTTGATTTATTCCTTTTGTCTGCAACTTTGTTTCATATATACATTGTATCAATACAATGTAAACAAATGAAGAAATATAAGGAATAAAAGAAATGTAGCCTCAGTGGCTCTTAATCCATGGATGTAAGCCTTAGTGCCAAACCATGTATATACTCCGTTCTTAATCTTTCTTTATTTCATCTTCCTATTTTACATCTTATATTTTCCCATCATAAAGTTAACATAACCGAAGATTGGGAGCCTATGGTCCTACACAAGTGTCTTATTTTCAATTATAAAATAACACTTGCAATAAAATAGCACTCGCAATAGAACGAATCCTTGTAGGATGGGGTGTCGAACCTCAAAGACTATAATGGATTTTTAAGTATAAAATTAATTGCTATTTAATTTAAAGAGAAGATTTGTTGTTTTGATTGTATATAAATAACATGAAAAGTAAAAATAAGCAATTAGAACAAAGATTAAGATCAAGGGAAGAAAAACTTAGGGCTTGATTTCATCACAAACCTCATAATATAGTCAATCGCTTCGACCTTAGGGATTTCAATATTTATGTATGATCAGGAATTAATGAATTAATTTTATATTTAATTCAATTTTAATAAGATAAATAATGAATTCATCTTAAGTAATAACCTGTCTTTGGTTGGCACGAATTGTCTACTAAACTACTCTAATTTACAATGTAGTACAACTCGTCTTTCCTATACATAGATTATCAAAACATTCATTCATAAAACAGTTTAAGTACCATTGCATGATCATTATTTAGATCGTTTTAAGAAGCCCTTAGCCGTCAATCTCAAACAATAAGAATATGTTGGATTTGATTAAAAAAAATCAAATCTAAGGCAAGATATTAATTTCAACAAAAAGCAAGTTTATTAATTAAAACTTCAATTGCTTAGAAATCCTAAGTCTATTGCTTTTAATCATTCAATCAAAATACATAAATAATGAAAATACCCAAAGTTAAAGAACAATCAAGCCATATTATTCGGATTTGGGTTATATCAAGGCCCTAAGATGAAGTTTAATTAGCTACTCATGGAGAGAAAGGATGTCTTATTGATGTTGTAGAAGCCATCTCTATGGACCACCAACAACTCCTTTGGATCTTCTTCTTTAATCTTCAAAACCCTAAAAGCCGCTGCAAGATCTCTCTCTTGTATCCTATGTAATCTCCCATTTTTCAGCAGAACATCTCCCTTTTATATCCACATGTTGTAGACTTTCCTCCTCGAGAAAAGAAATAGAAAAGGTTCAGTAAAAGAAAGAAGCCAAAACAGGTTTCTATATTTTTGTCAGTTTACAACGCTGTTTTGACCTATTTAGAGTACGAATCTGGAAACTGCTATTAGACACAAAAACGACGGGTTCGTGTCTTCTTTCTAGAGTCGCTGAGTTTGCACAATTTGGAGTTTGCAATTGGTTGACTTGATAATTTCTCTTCCTCTCTTTGATTCAACATTTTAGCTATTTGCCAAACTTCAGTTTTTAGCTTTGCTATGGATTGGGAATGAGACTGCAACAATTGAGTGTTGGACTCAAGGTTGCTAAGTGCAGCTAAGACCTTTTCTTCAAATGCAGAATTTCTAGGAGGATGAGGAGGATGATTGAATTGATTTTGAACTTGTGGAGGATGACGATAGTTAGATGATGGATTGAAAGAATTATTATTTGGAAGAGAAGTGAACTGTGCTACCCTCGAATCCGAGACACGGGTTGATCAGGCCCAAGCCCAAATCCGAGAGATATCAAACAATTAAAGTATTTTAAATCGAACACAAAATACAAAAAAATGATTTAAGAAATAAATTAAAAGCTGAAAGAAACTAAAAGAAAAACCTTGTATCACAATTAGTCCAATCTGATAATCCAAAACCTCCATAAGTTTACAACTCGGGAATCCATCCATTGGACCCCTTATTAAAATTTTCAAACCGAAATTGAAATGATAGAAATAAACTCTAAAGCTATAGAGAAGATTCCTACATAGTCAGAGGAATGAATATCTGTATCTGCTCTGCACGATCAACCCGTAATTCTGGAACTGCCGAGCACCTAAAAAATAAAGGAGTGATTCAGGCCCACATGCAAGTCCTGATCTATTACAATCTAAATAGTAATCCGATACGCAGATACATCCTGGGAAGACTCAACAATATCCAGAGTAGTCCATATATGTATATAGTACACACTATAGGATGCTCGCTAGTCCAGTAGGACTGTCACAGCCTGAATAGAAGGCAACATGCAAATACGCACCCTAAGGTGGGCATGAGTACCTAGACCTACCAGGGAACAACAACTATGTCCAGTTATCCATCCTAGACGATATACGCGCCCTAACCATGGTCATGAGACTCAAGCTCATACCACGGCACCATATAATATATATATAAAGTCCGAACTCCTAATACAAGATATCAACCATCTGTATAGTGGTCTGATATATGTATCACACTCCATCCTAAACCATAGTAGGTCAATCAATTATTTTATTGACATGACACAAGTAGAAGATGGACTTAACCTTTATGGTTAATCCATACCTTAATCCAAATTAGGTAGGACTTAGCGTTTTGAACTAATCCATTCCCAATATAGGTAGGTCTTAGTGTTTTGAACTAAGCCATCCTTAATATGACATCGTCCTATACCGGTTCATATATATCCATATAAGTAGGACTTAACCTTTTTAGGTTAATCCAACTCATTCCAAATTAGGTAGGATTTAGTGCTTGAACTAATCCATATCTAGTATGTCACCGTCCCATACCGGTACATACAATCCTCCAGTTAACATAGTTGACAAAACAGTATTAGATGCAAACCAACCATACTCCAGCATAAGCATACATAACAATCTAACAGGTGGAGGATCGAATTATGCACTCAATATAAGGTTTAAAAGTCCTAAACCAACCCTTTAAACTGATCAAGAATACTGATCATTTAACTCCCCCGAACTGCGTAGTTAATAAAACCACACTATATAATCAACATCCATCCTCCAAAGTATGCATCAATATATATACATACATACATAACAATGTAAGGTAATCACAACGGAACCTAAATATCATGCTCCAACAAATTTACATAGCTAGAATCAATCATAGCATTTAAATTCTCATGAAATCCATAAATTAATAAACTTAACAGAATGTATATATCAATTTATTTTAAATCAAGTACAAATGATTTCAAGAACCTACCATATTTATAAATCTGTTTAAATATAGTTAAACAGAAATAAATTATATCTCACAGAAAAACCAAGTTCCAGAAATAAATTTATGTATTCAAAACCGTGCACAACCTTCGAATTTTCCATAGGTTCATCCTAATTCTTTTCTTAGTCCAGTTGAGAATTAATGTTTTTGAAAGTATTATAGGTATTTTACAATCTCAAACCATATTTAAAACAGTTTAAAAACCATGCACATACACTGTATAGTCCAAATCCATGCCCAAAACAACATATTGTATGTAAAACTGGGCAAGAGCAGGCTCCAAAATTTGAGAGCCTGCTCTATTTAAAGGGAGAGCCGGCTCTAGAGCTACAAGAGCAGGCTCCCCACCCTTTGGGAGCCGGCTCTAAGAGTAGGAAGAGCCTGTTCTTCCTCCCTTAGATGCCGTCGTCTGTTTCTGCGTCTTCTTCTCTAACTCCGATGATTAACAGAGCCTCTGTGGTGTTTTTAAATCCTTGTTCTAGGTTCAAACTCAGTCCTAGATATATCTTAAACCACTAACATCCTACCATAACATGTATTGAACACAACCTTTGAAGCAATGACTACAGAATCTCAGTTTAAAACTTAAGCGATTCAAAAGAGATTTATTCAGTGAAGTTGAATACTATTTTTAAAACTTGATTCAGGATTCAATCTTAGACCCAAATTCATTACAAGTCATCAAATCATGACCTCAATTTTAATCAAAGCCTAAATGCAACCACCGAGAAGAATAAATAACAGAAAACCATCAAGGTTTATGCAAATCACTTGTTTCAACAAGATTAATATAATTCATACATGCATACTAGATTTGATATCATGTTTGTTTAATCCGTTTTTAGTCTTTAATTAATCCCTGGAGTCTAACCAGGCATGCACAGAACACGAATTAAAGGGAAAGAGGAGAACAAGACTTGCCTCTAATTTTCGGTTAGAAAACTGAAACTGTCGTCTCTAATTTTTCCGTCAACGTTGTCGGCTATTGTTCTACACCTCCGACGCTCTTGGTTCAACCCAGAAGCATTCCATTACAACCTCCTTGAACCTATCTGCAAGCTCTAAAGTTTCCTCTCCCTGCTTCTCTGTGTCTCTCTATCTCTCACAACTCTCTGTAACGTGAATAAAGTTTTATGTAGCTTCTAAAACTCTAAACCCATATAAGATTATATTTATAGGCTAAATACTCCAACCCTAATCCTTGTATAATTTGAGCCCTAGTGCAACTCTTAGCCGGCCCAAGAAAACCTAAATTATAACCTATGTCGACTAAGACGTGAATTTTAATTTAGTTATAACCGTAACTTAATTTACTAATTAAATCACATAATTCAATTAAAAACAAATACTACAATTAAATCAAGTAATTCAAGTAATCAATTAAACAAATAAAAATGCAATTAAATACACTAATTAAATTCTTCAATTAAAACAAATAATACAATTAAATCAAATAATTCAAGAAATCAATTAAACAAATAAAAATGCAATTAAATATAATAATTAAATTCCAAAATTGTCCTTTTAAAATTAGGGGTATTACATTCTTCCCCTCTAACAAAAGGAATTCCGTCCTTGGAATTCGCTCTTACTTTCTTTCCATAATTCAGGAAACGGCGAGCGAAAGACATCCTCCCATTCCCAAGTGGATTCAGCCTCATTGTGAAGACTACACTGCACACGAACCAAAAGAATAACCTTGTTTTGAAGGATTTGATCCCTACGGTCAACAATACAACACGGTGACTCCAAATAGGTTGCATCCGGCTGCAACCCAATATCAACATGGTGATACCCATCCTCATTTCGCAGAAATTTCCGCAACATGGAAACATGGAACACATTTGTGAACGTGATCCAAAGTATCCGAAAGTGCTAACCTATAAGCAATAGCTCCAACGCGATCCGTGATCATGAATGGTCCGACAAACCACGATGCCAACTTCCGTTTCTTCCCAAAGCATATAACACCTTTCATAGGCGACACTTTGAGTAGAACCTAATCTCCAACTCTAAACTCGAAATCAAGAACACACGACCGAAACATATCCACCATAATCTGATTCACCCGCTCAGTCTGTCCATCAGTCTGAGGATGATAAGCAGAACTAAGGTGCAACTCTGTACCCAAGGCCTGCTGGAAACTCTTCTAGAATCCAGACACAAAGCTCGAATCCCGGTCCGATATAATAGACAACGGAATACCATGTAGCTTTACAATCTCTGCAATGTAAAGCCTTGCCAACTGCTTCGAAATAAAGTCAGTGCGAATAGGTAGGAAATGAGCTGATTTGGTCAACCTATCCACGATGACCCAAATGGAATTGTGACCCTTGAAAGAAGTGGGCAATCTCTCCACAAAGTCCATAGAAATGCTCTCCCATTTCCACTCCGGTATCGGTAGCGGTTGTAGAGCTCCTGGCGGCCTTTGATGATCAATCTTGACCATCTGACAAGTACTACATCGGGAGACGAAAAGAGCAATGTCTTTCTTCATACCTACCCACCAAAACTGCCGCTTCATATCCTGATACATTTTGTCGCCTCCCGGATGAACAGAAAACTCAGAGTGGTGAGTCTCAGTCATCACATCCTTCCTCAACCCGTCAGCAGAAGATACCACTAAGCGTCCCTTGTACCTCAAGCCTCCGTCAACCCCAACATAGTAAAATGGAACGTCCCCAGCAGCTATCTCTGCAACCTTGTCGATACACTGCTGATCCGTGAGTTGTGCTTGTAGAACCTTGCGAATGATAGAAGGTGTAACCACTAAGCAAGCCATCAAAGCATCCGATAACTCATCCACAATCCTCAAAGCGTTCTAATCAGTGGTGAATAGAGTAGAAAGGCTACCAACAGGTCGGCAACACTATCCATAGATGCCTAGCATGATCGTCCTCCGACCGAGAATAGATCAAGATGTCATCAATAAAGACAATAACAAACTGATCCAACTAAGCCCGGAAGACTCTATTCATTAAGTCCATGAACACTGCTGGTGCGTTAGTCCTCCCAAACGGCATGACACGAAACTCATTAGAACCATATCTCGTGAGAAACGCTGTTTTAGGAACATCCTGCTCCCTAACCCGAAGTTAGTGATACCCAGACTGCAGATCAATCTTAGAGAAATAGGTAGCTCCCTTCAACTGATCAAACAAATCATCAATTCTGGGTAAAGGATACTTGTTACGAATCGTAATCTTGTTCAACTCCCTATAATCTATACACAAGCGGAGCAAACCATCCTTCTTCTTCACAAATAAAACCGGTGCTCCCCAGGGTGAAGTACTTCTGCGAATAAAACCCTGGTTGAGTAATTGCTGAATCTGATCCCTCAGCTCTCTCATCTCCACTGGCGCCATCCTATACGGTACCCTAGCAATAGGCGTAATGTCTACAGCCAAGTCAATAACAAAGTCGATCTCGCTACTAGGTGGCAACCCTGCAATCTCCTAAAAGACTTCCGAAAAGTCCTGTACAATTAGTATGTGATCCAATGACACATAATTTTCTCCTCCGTTTCCTTCTCCACATGGAATAAATAAGTGTTATTGACCCCGCTAGAACGCGGCATAGCGACGACATACAATATCCTGACTAGGTATGGAGAACACAATAGACCTTTCCAAAACAAATAGCTTGAGCATGGCAGTGATAACTAATCCATCTCAAGTATCACGTCATACATGTGCATGTCCAGGACCAAAAGATTTGCTAGAAATCTGAGTCTACCAATATCTAGTGTCACAAGCCCATCTCTCTCATGAGAAATGGCAGTATTGCCCAACGGGGTAAGAATATCCTGAGGTCTATTGCATATGTATATACCCAACCAATCCATGAAAATTCCCCTGTTTCCAAATACTCCGTAGAGCAAAACACAAAAGGTAAAACGAAATGCTCCACAATTGTCCTATTTTTTTAGATTATTATTCTATCCTGGGAATTCCTCCTTCTAAACCAAACCTAACATAATAATTTACACAAGTTCTCTTATAAGCTTCTTGGTAGTCATCCTGTCTCCACACCATGTATTTACAAGCAAAAAGTTATTTGCCTGTCCAACCAATCACTCTACTGCGATAACCATTTATTAGCGCATCATACACATACCAATACAGTTTAAGAAAACCATATGTGTATAGAACACAAAAAAACCATCACATAACACAATAAAGATAGCCAAAACCGCTAGTTCACTTTATTAAAACATCTGGATCATAAACCTCCAAAAGAAAATTGTAAAATATCCTTTAATAAAATACCAATGTATGTGATCAGATCCGTACCACTTTATTAAAATCTCCACTACTACTAGCAATAATTATTACCCTACACAGAGCCTTTCTCCTTGTGATCTGGTACCCTTCTGTTTGGACGGCCTGATATCATCCTCGTCTAGGGCACTACCTGGTAGTGTGGCCGTACTCTCCACAAGCATAGCAAGTACCCCTAAAAGTACCGAATTGTCTCCTCTGCTGGTTAGCCTGTGGCTGATCTCTTCCTACAGGTGGTCCCCCATCTTGTTGTTTCTGAGCTAACCCAGGATATTGGTTGGATGTATGCCTATCCTCTTCGCAGCCAAAACAATGAACTTGAACCGCAGTCTGCACCACTGGTTCTGCTTCGAGTGTCCGCTGCACGGGTGACTGATTCTGAAATGCAGTTACTACACCTGTAGCTACAGCCTGAGTAATGATGTACACTAACTAATGAGAAAACTTTGGATTACTGCCGTGACTGTAGCCCCGGTCCTAAGACCCCTGAGTCTGCTGTACATCTTCCCGCTCAGTATGCAACTGACCTTCTTCCCCCAGCTCCTTTTCCTGAAACTTAGGCAGTTGCTGATCTTCCTCACTTTGCTGACGCCGTAGGAGATATTGTTGCCTACGTGCCGCTCTCCTTTCCTTCCTAGTTCCTCGCATGATCTGTCCGTTTCTAGCATTAACCATCTGTTAACACGGAAAAACAGACATCAGTACCATTTCTAAATCATCCGTAAGGAATACAATGAATCCTAAACTTAAGCTCTAATCAAGATAAAATGCTACGCAAAAGTCTTAATACGAAACGCCCTAGAGACACTTGAACCTGGAGTGCTCTGATACCAACTGTGATACCCCTCGGATCTGAGACGTGGGTTGATCAGGCCCAAGCTCAAACTCGAGGGATATCAAACAATTAAAGTATTTTAAATCGAATACGGAATACAAAAAAATGATTTAAGAAATAAATTAAAAGCTGAAAGAAACTAAAAGAAAAACCTTGTATCACAATTAGTCCAATCTGATAATCCAAAACCTCCATAAGTTTACAACTCGGGAATCCATCCATTGGACCCCTTATTAAAATTCTTAAACCGAAATTGAAATGACAGAAATAAACTTTAAAGCTATTATAAAGAAGATTCCTACATAGTCGGAGGAATGAATATCTGTATCTGTTCTGCACGATCAACCTCTAATTCTGGAACTGCCGAGCACCTGAAAAATAAAGGAGTGGGTCAGACCCAAATGCAAGTCCTGATCTACTACAATCCAAACAGTAATCCGATACGCAGATACATCCTGGGAAGACTCAATAATATCTAGAGTAGTCTATATATGTATATAGTACACACTATAGGACGTTCACTAGTCCAGTAAGTCTGTCACAGCCTGAATAGAAGGTAACATGCAAATATGCACCCTAAGGTAGGCACGAATACCTACACCTATCAGGGAACAATACCTATGTCCAGTTATCCATCCTAGGCGATATACGCGCCCTAACCATGGTCATGAGACTCAAGCTCATACCACGGCACCATATAATATATATATAAAGTCTGAACTCCTAATACAAGATATCAACCATCTGTATAGTGGTCTGATATATGTATCACACTCCATCCTGAACCATAGTAGGTCATTCAATTATTTTATTGACATGATACAAGTAGGAGATGGACTTAACCTTTATGGTTAATCCATACCTTAATCCAAATTAGGTAGGACTTAGCATTTTGAACTAATCCATTCCCAATATAGGTAGGTCTTAGTGTTTTGAACTAAGCCATCCCTAATATGACACCATCCCATACCGGTTCATATATATCCATATAAGTAGGACTTAACCTTTTTATGGTTAATCCAACTCATTCCAAATTAGGTAGGATTTAGTGCTTGAACTAATCCATATCTAGTATGTCATGGTCCCATACCGGTATATACAATCCTCGAGTTAACATAGTTGACAAAACAGTATTAGATGTAAACCAACCATACTCCAGTATAAGCATACATAACAATCTAACAGGTGTAGGATCGAATTATGCACTCAATATAAGGTTTAGAAGTCCTAAACCAACCCTTTAAACTGATCAAGAATACTGATCATTTAACTCCCCAGAACTGCGTAGTTAATAAAACCACACTATATAATCAACATCCATCCTCCAAAGTATGCATCAATATATATACATACATACATAACAATATAAAGTAATCACAACAGAACCTAAATATCATGCTCCAACAAATTTACATAGCTAGAATTAGTCATAGCATCTAAATTCTCATGAAATCCATAAATTGATAAACTTAACAGAATGTATATATCAATTTATTTTAAATCAAGTACAACTGATTTCAAGAACCTACCATATTTATAAATCTGTTTAAATATAGTTAAACAGAAATAAATTATATCTCACAGAAAAACCAAGTTCCAGAAATAAATTTATGTATCCAAAACCGTGCACAACCTTCGAATTTTCCATAGGTTCATCCTAATTCTTTTCTTAGTCCAGTTGAGAATTAATGTTTTCCAAAGTATTATAGGTATTTTACAGTCTCAAACCATATTTAAAACAGTTTAAAAACCATGCCCATACACTGTATAGTCCAAATCGACGCCCAAAACAACATACTGTTTGTAAAACTGGGCAAAAGCAGGCTCCAAAATTTGAGAGCCTGCTCTATTTAAAGGGAAAGC